TCTGAAAAACAAATCGATTATGTTCTTGCTGAATTAGAATATTATGATTCAATACGAGATCAATCGATGGAAATGTCTGCTGTTGATGGTGTTTGGCAAAGTGATGAATTAATATCTCAAGATATAAAACAATCATTAATTTCATGTGTAAATATTTTGGAGAATGTACCAGAAAGTGAACAAGATTGGCATCCAGGAACAAATAAACAAATATTAGATTTAGTTCATCCATCTTTATTTTGTTTTGTTCATCAAATGACAAGAGTTATCAATGAAAAAAATCATCTTATCAATATCGATGATGCTCTCGAACATATTGGTCGTGGAGAAACAATTGATATCAATGTAAATGCTTTATCATCAAATTCAAATAATAAACGAAAAAAATTATCCGAAGATTATACTCGATCGAATACAAATCAATGGATTCCAACTGAATTCAATGTTTCAAAAGATGGTCAAGTTAAAATCGAATCATATATCAATAATTTACATCCAATTCAACATAAACAATTATATCAACTCATTGAAAATATTTGTCAATGTTTTATACCTTTATTTAATAAAGTTTTAACTGATTTAAATTATAATCAAAATAAACCAAATCGAATTATTGTTAATCCTTACCGTTGGTATGTCGATAAATCCTCATCTGATGATAATGATGATAATGATGATGATGATCATCATCATCTTCGAACAATTATACAACCTGATGTTGGAGAATTTCAGATGCCACCATCAACAAGTTCAAATATTGATTTACGTGGGAGAAAATTACAAATTATTGTTAAATTAGCAAATATAGTATTAACACCATCAAATCCAAAATATCCTGGTGGTGTTTGGCATGTTGAAGGAATGGATAATGAACATATTGTTGCTACAGGTATCTTTTATTATTTTAATTCGAATATAACACAATCAAATTTACAATTTCGAACTGTTATAAGTGAACCAGATTATGAACAAGATGATCGTTACGGTGTTAATAGTGTTTATGGTTTACAAGATACACATCCTTTAAATCAACAATTAGGTGAAATAGTTACTCAAGAAAATCGTTGTATCGTTTTTCCAAATATTTATCAACATCGTGTTGCACCTTTTCAATTGAAAGATCCAACTCAATCAGGTCAAAGAAAAATCTTAGTCTTTTTCTTAGTTGATCCAACGATTCGAATTTTATCAACTGCTCATATTCCACCACAACAATCTCATTGGTATATTGATCTTATACGTTCTATTCCTTTATTTAATCGATTACCATTATTAGTCGTTAATAAAATTATGAATTATGTTGATTTTCCTATGACGATAAATCAAGCAAAACAATATCGTGACAAATTAATGAATGAAAGAAAATATTTTATTTCACAAAATAATCATTTACTCTTCGAAAGACCTTTTTCATTATGTGAACATTGAACTTTATTCTGGGAATTGATCTTATTTTTAAATTTAAACAAATATTTTTGATTCATGAAAAGGAATAACATGATTCTATTGATGTTCCGACTGACTCTGTGTGAGAGTGAATGTAGTAATGAACTTCAAATTTGTTTGTCGATCGATTGATTGTCATAACCAATGAAACAAGAGATAAATATTCAGTTTTGTTACACATTGATTGAGATTTTGATATATAGAAACAACATTTGAATAAATGTAGAAGATTATATTAAATACTTATTTATTTTTCTTCAACTATAGTTTCCTATCTCTGTCCTGTGTTGTAATTTACTTTTACTTCATTAGATATAAATAAATCATCATCTGAGAAAAATGCTTTTTTTTTTCTTTCTGCTTATTCACTGTTGAAGGAGATGCATACATTCATTAATCGATATCGGTATCATGCATAATTGACACTGAGACACAAAAACAATTTTATTTCGATAATACACTTCTCCTTCTCTCAATAACATTATTTCATATTTATCAATCATTTTCTATTTGTTTTTCATATTTTTATTGTATAGGAGATTGTAAAATAGTGCATAATAAACTATCATCCTCTAAAATGAATCACTTTTCAAAAAAATAATTTATGATAAGTAGGTTTCTAACTTTATAGAGACAAAACAACAACATACTACGAAAAAACCTTTAAAAGTTAACAATGAATTCAATTCTTATGACATTCAAGAAAATAGGATATTTTTGAACTATTCTGCATCTCAAAAGTGAAATAATTTCGTGCAAATTCAACTCTAACTAGTGGATTAGGATAAACGATTAAAAACAAAAATGAATATTCATCATTCTATAGAAACATATCTAATTTGAATGAATACAGAAACAGAGCCTTGTAGTAGAAATCCATGGAATATAGAAATCTTTTTTAGCAAGAATAAAGTTTCTATACATTTGATACTGAAGCAAAATTTTTCTCTTTTGGAAATAGATAAATATCATAGGATAATCTTTAAGATTATCAAATTTAATATTGCATTTAAATGCAGAGTAAAAAGTTAATCATACAGTTATATGTCTCGATGTGAAAGAAGCAGGCTAGCCCTTTCCTTACTTTTTACGTCTCGTCTTTGGAAATCTGTCTATCAAATTTTAACTTCATCCTATTCTAAAAACCGTCGATAGTCTTGTAAGGCGATGACTTTTAATTCTTGCAAATCTGTGACTCTTACCAAAAGAAAACAAATATTTAAGTTAAATATAAAAATTCGACAAGTTGAAAACATTTATGAAGAAACATTAAATAGCTAAAGTGAGACTAAAAGAGCATCACTTAGTAATCCTCCCGAACACTTCGCTTTTTACGTTGATAGTTACTGCATACAAATAGTAGTTCACAAAATTCTAATCGGATCAGAGTAAAAGTCTTTTATAACTTTCGGCCTAGGCCGAAATTTATGTAATCGGTGACATACATCGGTTGTTGTGTTCAGTTATTGTGTATGAGGATCTCGAACAATTGGGCACGAGAGCTCTGCTTCAGGTTAGTTTTTTATCTAGAGCTACAACTAATATTAGTTGTAGGAAAGATATTGAACTACTGCATCTGTCACTAGGTAGCACTCTATACCGCAACACAAGGATATTCTTCTTCTTCTCATTATCAATCTAATATCAATTGGTATACTGAACGCCTTTCTTATAAACTTTTGATTTTATTTTAAAATTTCTATATTCTTAGAATTTCCTATTGCTTGAAGATAATTTGAAGGGTTTTTGATTGGTTACACTTTCAATACATTAACATTCATATGATATATATTGTAAATTAATTTTACTTACCACAGGTGCTTCAGGTGGTGCAATACACAAATCTTAACTCATAATATCCGCAAAATTAGTCAAACTTGAATCATACCTAATATATATAAAATGTTATTTAATATTTAGAAAAAAAAAAGTTTATCTATACCAAAGAAGCATTTTATTTCCAACATCTTTAAATATTTTATTGTTATTTTCTCTTTCAACTTTAAATACATGTTCTATTTCCATTTTATATTGTTGATGTGTTGATGCATTTGTTGATTGAAGATATTTATCAATTAATATATAAATATCTTCATGTTTTTTCACAGAATATAGTTTACATTTTAATTGTTCATAATGTTGATCAATTGGATTCAAATATGTGTTTGTATCTGTATTTAATGTTGTAAATGTTATTTCAATATCATCAAGTACTTCAACTAATTCAATCTCATGTTTTAGATGTGGGTATACAAAATGTATTACCTTTCCTATATGTATTCGATCCAATTCTTTAGATAAAAGCTATAATTACAAGTCGATATACCTAATGTAAACAAATCGCTGCTTGGATTTTAACAATTATATTTCGAATTTATCAAATGAAAAAAATGCATTCATATATTAGTGATAATTCTCAATTATTATGAGCTGAACAACGTAAGTCTATTTTAGTTTGTACTGGTGTATATGATCCAAATGTACACAAGATTATCATACAACCATACAATATGAAGTATTTGATCTTGTAACTTCGATGTTTTGATTAAATAACAATGTATAGAAAAAAGACATTTTCTTTTATTGTACTTGAATTGTAGTTTATATTATGTCAATCAATAGAAGTTAAATAAGCACTTTGAAAACTAATTATTATTCTTTTTTTTATCTCAATTAATTTTCAGATAGGTGAGAAAAAGAATAGTTTTAAAGATATAGTATATTTGAAAAAAAAAAAAACTTTTTATTGCAATTTAATAAAAAGACTGTTTGAAGATCATTGATAAAATAATTTTGTTTGGAAAAACGAACAAAAAAAAAGATCATTAGACTTTTGTTCTTAAGAATGAGTAAACTTTATTTTTCAGTATGTTTCTTAATATAAAAACAAATATTTATATAAACGTTCTACTCTAGCAATTATCGTAGTTCACATCATAGAAAATTATGAGTAGTGTGAGAGTATAAGAAAAAAAACTTGACTCGTTTTTAAAAAGGATTATTTGAAATTTCGATTCATAAATAATATTTGAGTTAAAGAAATATTTTTAGAAAATATTAAATATCCTTAATTAAATCTTAAATCTCAAATTGATTGTAAGATAAATTGAAATACTTGATCAGTTAATAAAACAAAAACCATTTATAATCGAGCTGGCTCGATTTGTTCATTCTCTTTAATAGATGTATTTCGAAAATTATTTTTTAATCTTTTCTGTCTTAGTTCAAGTAATATTTCCATTAAAACAGTTTCTAATGATTGACATAGAAGTTCATCATGTTTATCATTAGTTAAATTCAATTGAAAATCCTCCTCGTCATTTATATCAAAGAAATCAATTGAATCAATATCATAATCAGTAAAATTTGTTGTTGATGATGATGAACTCATCAAAATACCCGAATCAGATTGATTATCATTGATTTGAATTTTTGCATGGTGAAAATGATTACGTGCACGATGAAAGATTTTTAATAAACATCGATCAGTATTATTTGTTGGAAATAATCTAATAAATATTACAAGAATAAATCAAATAAATCTATATTTTAAAAATAAAAAATAGAAATTTACTCTTGTTTATTATTAATATTCATTGTTGTTTCTAACCAAAGATCAATTGGATATTTATCTTGTTGTTGTAATGATGATGTTTTTATTTGACCTTTAGAATTCAATGAAGTTGTTGAATTTTTTAATGAATGTGTTCGTTTTCTTATAGGTTTTTTATCATGTAATATTGAATGATCTTTTAAATACCATTGAATAAATTCTTCTTTTGATATACGTCCATCTTTATCAATATCCATTGTATTAAATGCTTTTTCATATAATAAATTATCTTTCATATCAGGTTTATATTGACCAAGAAATTGTGCTGCTAATTTTTTTCTTGAATTAAATTCTTTTTGTGTTATATAACCTTGATTATAAATATCAAAAAATTTAAATAATGTTTCAATTGTATATAAACGATTAGCACCAGTTATAGCTGATAATGCATAAATAAATTCATCGAAATCTAATTCTCCATCATGATTTTGATCATATATATCAAACATCATAGAAAAAAATTTTTTACTATATCGATAATTTTGTAAATTTTTTATAATATGAATATTGGATTGATTGAATTTTTGTAAATATGATTTTCGTATAAATGTAAGAAATTTTCGTTTTGAACAACGTCCATTAGGACAATCATAAAAAAATGCTTTTCGTGAACAATCTATATCATTGTCGGAGAAACCTAATTCATTATTGTAATTAACTGCCATTTTAAATTTTTCAACGACAATATAATACAGTTTTATTTTTCGTATATAAGTCAAACGAACGGTAATAGTATATATACATATATTAATGTTTTTTTCTTATTTAATTAGTTTTGAATCAGACAAAAAACAAGTCAAGCATGAAAGATATGATTTTATATTTTTTTTATGTGACTTGTTGCCATTGTAAAATGCACTCGCAGGTTACCTTAATGACTGTTACTTCTAACGCTATATGCCTATATACTACTAAAGGTGTAAACAACATTGTCGGTAATAACTTGTTTATAGTATAAAGTCAATTAAAAGGTCAAGCAAATAGATGTGTGACAGCAATCAATGACCGACGATTGCTTAATTGTTTTTCTTTACTTTGCTGAAGAACAGGATTACGAAGTGTTACTATCTATCTTATATGCCGAACGAAATATTTTTATACAATTTGTTATTATAAAACTATCGTCACTTGATAAAATCAATACAAGAAGAAAAAAAAGGTGATAAATTTTCATTTTAAAAAAAAATTTTATTTGAAATTTATATCTATGTCGATGATGTAACAAATTACTTGACTCTTTTTTTTTTTATTAATAAAAATAAATTGGATGCCATAAAAATGATGACTTGACTTTTGCCTTGAAAACGAATATAATTAAGTTTTTTTTTCTTGAGTGTTACAGAATTGAAATAAGAATAATTATGAAGCAAATCAAATCCTATACATTGCATGCTTTTTTTTGTTATCATATAGGTTTTTTTTTCTACATTGGATGATACATTGAAATGTGTATTGTGTAATAGATTGTCCTCCAGCCGCCCTCCCCCCCTTTTTTTTGCGTTGCTTGAATTAATTTAAACAAAAATTATACGTTAGTTATTCGAATTTATGATTGATCTTGAAAATGACGACAAATTTTGCATATCCTTCACAAAATAAAATCACCTGTTGAAAGAAGAAACATTTCACACGATATTGACATGTACACTTACACATACATGAGCTCATCTATAGCTCATAAGCAAACATTGCCTCGTGTGCACATTTATTAAATACGTATGCGTGTGTGTGCTTGAGTTCTACATATAAATGTAGACGTGACTCTGATCGAGTATTTGATTTTCTTTCTCTCATCACCATTTTTTTAATGTTGGTCTCTTTTTTTTTTTTTCAGTGCTCACTTTAAATAGTGAAGTAGTCTATACATATATGAGATGTCTCGAACTATATATATCGTATAACTACATGTGTCATAAATATAGTTATTTCAATATTTTATTCTAGTTGTCATGACTGATGATCGATTATTTTATTCATTAACAGAATCTTCTTTACTCGATACTTATCTTCTATATGCTATCATTGGTTTACTTATATTCATAGCATTTATTGGTTTAATTGTACTTTTGACAACATCATGTTGTTGTTTTTATTCAATATCATCTTGTTTTTGTTCTTATCCTTGTCGTCGACATTCATCATATAAATTAAATGAAATATTTCAAAAGCAAAAAAATACAAAAAGGAATACTTTTATAAAACATCATTCAAGTGATATAACTGATTTTTCACATTTATACGAATCACATCCTCATTTAATCAATAGTAAAACTATGTTAACAACAAGAATTAATAATAAAAATTTTGATGCAAGTTGTGTAACAATGGATACAGTTATTAATCCAATATCTCCATGTAGTTCATTTCGTTCATTAAATCAATCAGGTAATATTATAAACTCAAGATTTTTAACAAATAATTAATTTATCTATTTCATAGTTTCACCTGTACAAATACCACTTAATAATCCATCACAAACAAATATTGACAAGATTAATCTATCAACAAAAGGTATAGAAAAAAAAACGAATTCTCTTATTTTTTTAATGAACATTATCAATTAAATCAGGTGTTGATTCTCGACCTTTTACTTATATAAAAAATCCAAATGATTGTACACAAATTTTACGTCGCCTCCCACTAGACGATCGTTCTATTTCACCATCTGTTATATCTATTGATATGACACGAATCTCATCATTGGAAAGTGATACTAATAATCAAACAAATTCTCCTTGTACAAATATTTATGAAACAGTAATTCCAATAATAAATAATAATTCATCATTCGATCAATCAACACCTATTTATGAAACTGAATGGAAACATAGTTTAAAACAAATAATGATGAGTAAAATACCATCGATTGAAAAAAATGTTATTTCTATAATTGAACTTCCATCATTACAATCAAATTTAATTTCATCAAATCATTATTTTCAACAACAATATTTATATGAGAAATTTTTAGCCAATCGAACAAAAAGATCTGATTCAATACGACGAGCTAATATACTTAAACGATTAAATGATGATGCAGCTTTTCTTTATTAACGAATGATTTGTTTTTGGAATTTAATTATTGATACGTCTTGATTTCGTTCTTTTTGTCATGTTTTGATTAGCAAAAACAAAGATTTTAAAGAAAATTAGATATTTAAATCTTTCATTCAACATTTATTTTTTCTTTTTAAAGTAAGAAAAGATATTTATTAAATTTCGTTGCTATGAGAATATACAAGTGCTTAGCGACACATAATAAAGTCTATTTACCTATAGATATAACCATGATAGTTGTCTAGGTTTATTTATAGATGAGTAAGTCAGTGATATTTGAATCCAATTTAAGTCAAAACAAGATTTTTCAAGTGTTCTTTTCTTCACCAGCAGATCGAATTATTATGTTTATATCGATGGAGAAACAGCAGAGACTTCAATCTTGAAGTCTACTGTTTGTATTTTTTATGAAAGATAAATTTATGTTGAACAAAGTTAGTTTTTATAATAATCGAAAATATTAATTAAAAAAATTGATATATGACAAACATCTTGATAATCAAAAAGATGTTAATACTAGTTTGTAGGAATAAGAATTCAATTAACTGCTTATATTTGAAGTCTATTATTAAAGAAAACAAGCTATCGAATGAGTTATTTTTGGTGATCCAGATTAAATTTTAACTTTAGTTTGTCAAAATATTATGTTAATTTAATTATGGACTAATAGATAATAAAGAAAATTTCAAAACAAATCTCATCTAGTTTCTAAGCTCTTAACTTTAATTTGTAAGTCTGAATATATATCCCATAGAAATTTTCGCTATCGTTTGTTTGTATGTTTTTTACAACCGATACCAGTTTTATCCCTGTTCTGGATCTATCATATACTTTCACATTGTATCATCATTTGACAATTGCGATTGATTTTATTGCACTTGTTGACTTTGTGATAAATAAATGATCATTGTTTAATGCAAAATATTGTTTAAGAACGATGACGTTGACTAGAATAATTTATGATATATTTATTAACCTTTAGACCTCATTAGGACTATAAATAAATCATGTTAAGAATAATGCAGATCAAATATCAAACAATTAAGAGAACAATTAAAACAAGCAACAATGTCTAATCTAACTTTGTTACCAAAGTACTTTCAATCGATGAATAGAAAGAAACTCTGAGATTCGAACTATTTTCATAATAGTAATTGATCATTTAAGATGAATATTAATAACTACACTAAAAGGAATATATTTGTTTAATTAATAATATTAACACATATAAATTATAAAAATGAAAAAGATTATAAAAAAAATTAGTAATCTTAATTCGAGATAATATCAATGTTTTCAGGTTGTCGAATACCATTAACAAGACCTGTTCGTTTATTTCTAATCACCCATTTTGATTGTATCTCAATAAAACCTGTACACTCTTGTTGTCCATCCATAATTCTTAAATCTTCAATAACACGTTCACTTCCATAATAAATATGTCGAACAATATCTTCTTTAAAACCATGACCTAATGTAACACATTCAATATCATTTACCCATATTGTATGTCCTTGATCCAAAGCAAAACTATAGACTGCTTCACACATAATATTCGTTGGACAAGAAACAAGTGAACAAGGTAATACCCATGTAACACCATTCAAACGAATTGGATGCCATGGTGTTATAATAAGACCACTATCAAGCTACATTTTAAAGAATAAAAAAAATGATTGAATAAGTTAAATTATAGAGAAATTCAATACATACTAAAACCATTTGTGCTTGTCGATTATTACAAATTGTTTTTAAAATATAATTAATTGTACCACCATGTGGATATAATCGATCACCTCGTCGAAGATCTTTAACAAATTTAATTGAACCATCGAATAGTTTAACTGTACATGAACCATGAAAACATGGATCATCCGAATTATTAAAAACAGACATATCAATAGGTGCACCAGACTCTGCACGTTTTGGTGCTGGTAAATCACAAAATATACCATCCATTTCATCTCGAACTGTATTAAATAATTGACCTTGACCATAATGTTGAACACCTGGATCTTTAAAATTATTACATTGTTGAAGTAAATGAGCACCTAAAAGAAACAAAAAAAAACAGAAGATAACACATTATTTATTAAATATTAAAAATAAATATACATACGTGTAATACTTGGTAAATAATGAATACCCCATTTTACAAACCAATCATATCGAGAAAAAGCAGTTTTTATTTGACCTGTAAGATCTGTAAGTAAATCAGTTAAATAATTATCATTAGTTGAATGATTTTTTATTGTTTGTTCTAAAGTTTCAATATTATCTAATACACTTTGTTGATTAGTAGTAAATGTTTCTTCAGATCCACGTAATAATTCATAACCTTTACGAATAATATCAACTAATTCAAGTCGATATTTTTGATGATTTAATAATTTAATATCACCATCAAGTCTTTCTAATGATTTACATTGTTTCTTTTTTTGACCCTGTGGAGATTCATAATCAAGTATAATTTCCATTTTTTTATATTGATCCATTGTCATTGGAATAACAACATCTTTACTTTGACCAAATGTTATTGAACCCAAATTCAAACATAACATAGGTTCATCACACAACTGTCGAAATAATGAACGTTTGATTACGTTAACAAGGAAAAAAAAAGTACAAAAAAAAGGCGAAGTATGTTAAAAGCAATAACAGAGAAATTTTAATGCAAAATTAAGAATCGATGTGATTTAAACCGGACAAAAACCATCGGTAGACTGTTCGGTATAATGTGGTAGTTGTTTGATACTTAAACGATCGGCTATCATCTAATCGCTATATACCGATAGTTGTTCTTCGACTGGCAATCTACTGTCAACAGGAGTGTTCCGAGGTCACTAAGATTGGGGACGGGTCGATCTTTGTTGCGAAGATTGATGAGCTCAAAAAATCGTTCAGTTCCACTAGGGGTGTAACTTCTGACTGTCATTATATCAGCGATAGCGCGAATAAACATGCAACATAAGAAGATTAAAAATGTCTTCAAAAAATAACTTGTACTTATGCAATTTTTAGAAGTTTAAACCAATGCTTATTTCTTGAAATATTCAATATGAAAAAAAAAGTCAGGTTTTTAATATTCAATGTCTCCAAAAAAAGAATGTCTCTGGTCTCATATAAGTTTTAAAAATAATAATAACAATTTAAAATAGAATTCCATAGATATGAATTTTGTTAGACACTATTTTTTAATTCTACTAAGATCTATTTCTATTAATAATAAGAATTTGTATTTTTCAAAGAGATTCGGATTACTATCTCCCATTATTTTTTAACAAAGCTTATTTAATTAAACTATTATTTTTCATCCAGGGAATGTTCAGTATGATGATGAAAAAATTTTCTTTTATTATCTTCGAAAGAACATCTACAGCTTTGCCATTAAATATATTTTATTTTTAAGTTGATTCGAATTTTTTTAATCGATTGATAATCTATGATCGAAAGATTTTTAGACAAAGTGTTTATTTACCTTTTACCCGCTGGAAAGTATTTCCGACGAATCAAAAGATATGAATTAGGATGCTCTTTTCGAATATAAACCTAGTCATTTTGTCCCAGTCTTTATTCGAGAGTAATTAAATAACCTTTGAAAAGCCCAAAAGTTTAGTTTGGACGAAACTTGTAGACCGAAATTGCAGGTGAACATATTTGTTCATTTTGGTCTGCTTGACAGCATTTCAGACGGGTCAAAAACTATACATTGCAACCAGAATTGCGTGCTTTTTTTGAAAGACCTGAAAGGTTTGTAGAGCAGATACTTCTCGACAAAATGTGATATTGAACTAAGTTGTAGCTTTTATCCAAGTGAGACTACAAGCAGTTTATGAAGAGCTTCTTTCAATGTAAAATGGTTGTCGGTTTTTACTAAAATGAATATGTAGGAAAAAACGAAAATTGAGATATCTCGTAGGAAGACAAAGAAAAACTTGGAATAGTGGATTTTGTAACCTAGCTTCTGATCTACAGGCTGACAGGTAACGATTCCAACTTTTAGTTTCAAATCACAACAGTGAAAATACAATAATTTTCTGTCCAAACTAAGTTTTCAGGACTTTTCAAAAGTTATTTCATTACTCTCAAACAAAATTTCTCAGATCATATTCGAACAGAGTACGAAATTTTGGTCCTAACTCATAGCTTTTGATACTTTCTAGCTAGCCAGAAGTGAACACACATCTTGTCTGAAAACTTTCCGATCACCCATTATTATTCATTTTATATATTGCAAATAAAAAGTTTCTATAAACAATATTAACTTACCAATTATTTCAATATATGTAATACTTCATGGTAATTTTCAAAAACTCAATTCAATATTCTACAGTAGTCACAAGAAGTCCTGCTACCGGGTAAAATTACATAAACTTCAATCCTTTTGCCTAATATTTTGACTGCAAATCGATCTCGATAAGCCCTTAATTTCAAGTTGTTGCCTGAAATCGATAGACCTTAAAGCAAAACTCTATGATGAAAGCATTGATTTTTTTCCGTAGGATCCAAAAAAAAAGACTTTTTAGACATATTAGTATAATAGTTGTATAAAACAATAAATTCTATTCGTACTTTATGATTTGATATATTTGTTGAATAATTACACATATAATTCGATGATGAATCAAGTGCTGGTTGAATACCTCCAATTGATAATTGTAAATTTGTTGCTACTGTTGTTAATAAATTTGAAATAGCATTAACAAATATTGTACCAACAAATGATCCATCTGGTATAAATGCATATGAACCACAATTACCCACTTGAGCAAGATCTTCTAATAACTTACTATCTAAATTATATCCAAAACCAAATGTATTAATTGAACATGTAAAATTAGTTTTAGTTTTATATGCAGCTAATGCTGGTAAATATCCATCTGGTGGTTCAACATTTGGACAACCATCTGTAAGTAAAAATAATGCAATATTACTTTCGGTTGTTCGTTGTCCTTCAACTAAAACTTCGACACCAGTTCTTAACCCATCCCATAAAT